GGCCCTGGCCTGGCCTGGCCTGGCCTGGCCTGGCCTGGCCTGGCCTGGCCCTGGCCTGGCCTGGCCTGGCCCTGGCCTGGCCTGGCCTGGCCTGGCCCTGGCCTGGCCTGGCCTGGCCTGGCCTGGCCTGGCCTGGCCTGGCCTGGCCTGGCCTGGCCTGGCCTGGCCTGGCCTGGCCTGGCCTGGCCTGGCCTGGCCTGGCCTGGCCTGGCCTGGCCTGGCCTGGCCTGGCCTGGCCTGGCCTGGCCTGGCCTGGCCTGGCCTGGCCTGGCCTGGCCTGGCCTGGCCTGGCCTGGCCTGGCCTGGCCCTGGCCTGGCCTGGCCTGGCCTGGCCTGGCCTGGCCTGGCCTGGCCTGGCCTGGCCTGGCCTGGCCTGGCCTGGCCTGGCCTGGCCTGGCCTGGCCTGGCCTGGCCTGGCCTGGCCTGGCCTGGCCTGGCCTGGCCTGGCCTGGCCTGGCCTGGCCTGGCCTGGCCTGGCCTGGCCCTGGCCTGGCCTGGCCTGGCCTGGCCTGGCCTGGCCTGGCCTGGCCTGGCCTGGCCTGGCCTGGCCTGGCCTGGCCTGGCCTGGCCTGGCCTGGCCTGGCCTGGCCTGGCCTGGCCTGGCCTGGCCTGGCCTGGCCTGGCCTGGCCTGGCCTGGCCTGGCCTGGCCTGGCCTGGCCTGGCCTGGCCTGGCCTGGCCTGGCCTGGCCTGGCCTGGCCCTGGCCTGGCCTGGCCTGGCCTGGCCTGGCCTGGCCTGGCCTGGCCTGGCCTGGCCTGGCCTGGCCTGGCCTGGCCTGGCCTGGCCTGGCCTGGCCTGGCCTGGCCTGGCCCTGGCCTGGCCTGGCCTGGCCTGGCCTGGCCTGGCCTGGCCTGGCCTGGCCTGGCCTGGCCTGGCCTGGCCTGGCCTGGCCTGGCCTGGCCTGGCCTGGCCTGGCCTGGCCTGGCCTGGCCTGGCCTGGCCTGGCCTGGCCTGGCCTGGCCTGGCCTGGCCTGGCCTGGCCTGGCCTGGCCTGGCCTGGCCTGGCCTGGCCTGGCCTGGCCTGGCCTGGCCTGGCCTGGCCTGGCCTGGCCTGGCCTGGCCTGGCCTGGCCTGGCCTGGCCTGGCCTGGCCTGGCCTGGCCTGGCCTGGCCTGGCCTGGCCTGGCCTGGCCTGGCCTGGCCTGGCCTGGCCTGGCCCTGGCCTGGCCTGGCCTGGCCTGGCCTGGCCTGGCCTGGCCTGGCCTGGCCTGGCCTGGCCTGGCCTGGCCTGGCCTGGCCTGGCCTGGCCTGGCCTGGCCTGGCCTGGCCTGGCCTGGCCTGGCCTGGCCTGGCCTGGCCTGGCCCTGGCCTGGCCTGGCCTGGCCTGGCCTGGCCTGGCCTGGCCTGGCCTGGCCTGGCCTGGCCTGGCCTGGCCTGGCCCTGGCCTGGCCTGGCCTGGCCTGGCCTGGCCTGGCCTGGCCTGGCCTGGCCTGGCCTGGCCTGGCCTGGCCTGGCCTGGCCTGGCCTGGCCTGGCCTGGCCTGGCCTGGCCTGGCCTGGCCTGGCCTGGCCTGGCCTGGCCTGGCCTGGCCTGGCCTGGCCTGGCCTGGCCTGGCCTGGCCTGGCCTGGCCTGGCCTGGCCTGGCCTGGCCTGGCCTGGCCTGGCCTGGCCTGGCCTGGCCTGGCCTGGCCTGGCCTGGCCTGGCCTGGCCTGGCCTGGCCTGGCCTGGCCTGGCCTGGCCTGGCCTGGCCTGGCCTGGCCTGGCCTGGCCTGGCCTGGCCTGGCCTGGCCTGGCCTGGCCTGGCCTGGCCTGGCCTGGCCTGGCCTGGCCTGGCCTGGCCTGGCCTGGCCTGGCCTGGCCTGGCCTGGCCTGGCCTGGCCTGGCCTGGCCTGGCCTGGCCTGGCCTGGCCTGGCCTGGCCTGGCCTGGCCTGGCCTGGCCTGGCCTGGCCTGGCCTGGCCTGGCCTGGCCTGGCCTGGCCTGGCCTGGCCTGGCCTGGCCTGGCCTGGCCTGGCCTGGCCTGGCCTGGCCTGGCCTGGCCTGGCCTGGCCTGGCCTGGCCTGGCCTGGCCTGGCCTGGCCTGGCCTGGCCTGGCCTGGCCTGGCCTGGCCTGGCCTGGCCTGGCCTGGCCTGGCCTGGCCTGGCCTGGCCTGGCCTGGCCTGGCCTGGCCTGGCCTGGCCTGGCCTGGCCTGGCCTGGCCTGGCCTGGCCTGGCCTGGCCTGGCCTGGCCTGGCCTGGCCTGGCCTGGCCTGGCCTGGCCTGGCCTGGCCTGGCCTGGCCTGGCCTGGCCTGGCCTGGCCTGGCCTGGCCTGGCCTGGCCTGGCCTGGCCTGGCCTGGCCTGGCCTGGCCTGGCCTGGCCTGGCCTGGCCTGGCCTGGCCTGGCCTGGCCTGGCCTGGCCTGGCCTGGCCTGGCCTGGCCTGGCCTGGCCTGGCCTGGCCTGGCCTGGCCTGGCCTGGCCTGGCCTGGCCTGGCCTGGCCTGGCCTGGCCTGGCCTGGCCTGGCCTGGCCTGGCCTGGCCTGGCCTGGCCTGGCCTGGCCTGGCCTGGCCTGGCCTGGCCTGGCCTGGCCTGGCCTGGCCTGGCCTGGCCTGGCCTGGCCTGGCCTGGCCTGGCCTGGCCTGGCCTGGCCTGGCCTGGCCTGGCCTGGCCTGGCCTGGCCTGGCCTGGCCTGGCCTGGCCTGGCCTGGCCTGGCCTGGCCTGGCCTGGCCTGGCCTGGCCTGGCCTGGCCTGGCCTGGCCTGGCCTGGCCTGGCCTGGCCTGGCCTGGCCTGGCCTGGCCTGGCCTGGCCTGGCCTGGCCTGGCCTGGCCTGGCCTGGCCTGGCCTGGCCTGGCCTGGCCTGGCCTGGCCTGGCCTGGCCTGGCCTGGCCTGGCCTGGCCTGGCCTGGCCTGGCCTGGCCTGGCCTGGCCTGGCCTGGCCTGGCCTGGCCTGGCCTGGCCTGGCCTGGCCTGGCCTGGCCTGGCCTGGCCTGGCCTGGCCTGGCCTGGCCTGGCCTGGCCTGGCCTGGCCTGGCCTGGCCTGGCCTGGCCTGGCCTGGCCTGGCCTGGCCTGGCCTGGCCTGGCCTGGCCTGGCCTGGCCTGGCCTGGCCTGGCCTGGCCTGGCCTGGCCTGGCCTGGCCTGGCCTGGCCTGGCCTGGCCTGGCCTGGCCTGGCCTGGCCTGGCCTGGCCTGGCCTGGCCTGGCCTGGCCTGGCCTGGCCTGGCCTGGCCTGGCCTGGCCTGGCCTGGCCTGGCCTGGCCTGGCCTGGCCTGGCCTGGCCTGGCCTGGCCTGGCCTGGCCTGGCCTGGCCTGGCCTGGCCTGGCCTGGCCTGGCCTGGCCTGGCCTGGCCTGGCCTGGCCTGGCCTGGCCTGGCCTGGCCTGGCCTGGCCTGGCCTGGCCTGGCCTGGCCTGGCCTGGCCTGGCCTGGCCTGGCCTGGCCTGGCCTGGCCTGGCCTGGCCTGGCCTGGCCTGGCCTGGCCTGGCCTGGCCTGGCCTGGCCTGGCCTGGCCTGGCCTGGCCTGGCCTGGCCTGGCCTGGCCTGGCCTGGCCTGGCCTGGCCTGGCCTGGCCTGGCCTGGCCTGGCCTGGCCTGGCCTGGCCTGGCCTGGCCTGGCCTGGCCTGGCCTGGCCTGGCCTGGCCTGGCCTGGCCTGGCCTGGCCTGGCCTGGCCTGGCCTGGCCTGGCCTGGCCTGGCCTGGCCCTGGCCTGGCCTGGCCTGGCCTGGCCTGGCCTGGCCTGGCCTGGCCTGGCCTGGCCTGGCCTGGCCTGGCCTGGCCTGGCCTGGCCTGGCCTGGCCCTGGCCTGGCCTGGCCTGGCCTGGCCTGGCCTGGCCTGGCCTGGCCTGGCCTGGCCTGGCCTGGCCTGGCCTGGCCTGGCCTGGCCTGGCCTGGCCTGGCCTGGCCTGGCCTGGCCTGGCCTGGCCTGGCCTGGCCTGGCCTGGCCTGGCCTGGCCTGGCCCTGGCCTGGCCTGGCCTGGCCTGGCCTGGCCTGGCCTGGCCTGGCCTGGCCTGGCCTGGCCTGGCCTGGCCTGGCCTGGCCTGGCCTGGCCTGGCCTGGCCTGGCCTGGCCTGGCCTGGCCTGGCCTGGCCTGGCCTGGCCTGGCCTGGCCTGGCCTGGCCTGGCCTGGCCTGGCCTGGCCTGGCCTGGCCTGGCCTGGCCTGGCCTGGCCTGGCCTGGCCTGGCCTGGCCTGGCCTGGCCTGGCCTGGCCTGGCCTGGCCTGGCCTGGCCTGGCCTGGCCTGGCCTGGCCTGGCCTGGCCTGGCCTGGCCTGGCCTGGCCTGGCCTGGCCTGGCCTGGCCTGGCCTGGCCTGGCCTGGCCTGGCCTGGCCTGGCCTGGCCTGGCCTGGCCTGGCCTGGCCTGGCCTGGCCTGGCCTGGCCTGGCCTGGCCTGGCCTGGCCTGGCCTGGCCTGGCCTGGCCTGGCCTGGCCTGGCCTGGCCTGGCCTGGCCTGGCCTGGCCTGGCCTGGCCTGGCCTGGCCTGGCCTGGCCTGGCCTGGCCTGGCCTGGCCTGGCCTGGCCTGGCCTGGCCTGGCCTGGCCTGGCCTGGCCTGGCCTGGCCTGGCCTGGCCTGGCCTGGCCTGGCCTGGCCTGGCCTGGCCTGGCCTGGCCTGGCCTGGCCTGGCCTGGCCTGGCCTGGCCTGGCCTGGCCTGGCCTGGCCTGGCCTGGCCTGGCCTGGCCTGGCCTGGCCTGGCCTGGCCTGGCCTGGCCTGGCCTGGCCTGGCCCTGGCCTGGCCTGGCCTGGCCTGGCCTGGCCTGGCCTGGCCTGGCCTGGCCTGGCCTGGCCTGGCCTGGCCTGGCCTGGCCTGGCCTGGCCTGGCCTGGCCTGGCCTGGCCTGGCCTGGCCTGGCCTGGCCTGGCCTGGCCTGGCCTGGCCTGGCCTGGCCTGGCCTGGCCTGGCCTGGCCTGGCCTGGCCTGGCCTGGCCTGGCCTGGCCTGGCCTGGCCTGGCCTGGCCTGGCCTGGCCTGGCCTGGCCTGGCCTGGCCTGGCCTGGCCTGGCCTGGCCTGGCCTGGCCTGGCCTGGCCTGGCCTGGCCTGGCCTGGCCTGGCCTGGCCTGGCCTGGCCTGGCCTGGCCTGGCCTGGCCTGGCCTGGCCTGGCCTGGCCTGGCCTGGCCTGGCCTGGCCTGGCCTGGCCTGGCCTGGCCTGGCCTGGCCTGGCCTGGCCTGGCCTGGCCTGGCCTGGCCTGGCCTGGCCTGGCCTGGCCTGGCCTGGCCTGGCCTGGCCTGGCCTGGCCTGGCCTGGCCTGGCCTGGCCTGGCCTGGCCTGGCCTGGCCTGGCCTGGCCTGGCCTGGCCTGGCCTGGCCTGGCCTGGCCTGGCCTGGCCTGGCCTGGCCTGGCCTGGCCTGGCCTGGCCTGGCCTGGCCTGGCCTGGCCTGGCCTGGCCTGGCCTGGCCTGGCCTGGCCTGGCCTGGCCTGGCCTGGCCTGGCCTGGCCTGGCCTGGCCTGGCCTGGCCTGGCCTGGCCTGGCCTGGCCTGGCCTGGCCTGGCCTGGCCTGGCCTGGCCTGGCCTGGCCTGGCCTGGCCTGGCCTGGCCTGGCCTGGCCTGGCCTGGCCTGGCCTGGCCTGGCCTGGCCTGGCCTGGCCTGGCCTGGCCTGGCCTGGCCTGGCCTGGCCTGGCCTGGCCTGGCCTGGCCTGGCCTGGCCTGGCCTGGCCTGGCCTGGCCTGGCCTGGCCTGGCCTGGCCTGGCCTGGCCTGGCCTGGCCTGGCCTGGCCTGGCCTGGCCTGGCCTGGCCTGGCCTGGCCTGGCCTGGCCTGGCCTGGCCTGGCCTGGCCTGGCCTGGCCTGGCCTGGCCTGGCCTGGCCTGGCCTGGCCTGGCCTGGCCTGGCCTGGCCTGGCCTGGCCTGGCCTGGCCTGGCCTGGCCTGGCCTGGCCTGGCCTGGCCTGGCCTGGCCTGGCCTGGCCTGGCCTGGCCTGGCCTGGCCTGGCCTGGCCTGGCCTGGCCTGGCCTGGCCTGGCCTGGCCTGGCCTGGCCTGGCCTGGCCTGGCCTGGCCTGGCCTGGCCTGGCCTGGCCTGGCCTGGCCTGGCCTGGCCTGGCCTGGCCTGGCCTGGCCTGGCCTGGCCTGGCCTGGCCTGGCCTGGCCTGGCCTGGCCTGGCCTGGCCTGGCCTGGCCTGGCCTGGCCTGGCCTGGCCTGGCCTGGCCTGGCCTGGCCTGGCCTGGCCTGGCCTGGCCTGGCCTGGCCTGGCCTGGCCTGGCCTGGCCTGGCCTGGCCTGGCCTGGCCTGGCCTGGCCTGGCCTGGCCTGGCCTGGCCTGGCCTGGCCTGGCCTGGCCTGGCCTGGCCTGGCCTGGCCTGGCCTGGCCTGGCCTGGCCTGGCCTGGCCTGGCCTGGCCTGGCCTGGCCTGGCCTGGCCTGGCCTGGCCTGGCCTGGCCTGGCCTGGCCTGGCCTGGCCTGGCCTGGCCTGGCCTGGCCTGGCCTGGCCTGGCCTGGCCTGGCCTGGCCTGGCCTGGCCTGGCCTGGCCTGGCCTGGCCTGGCCTGGCCTGGCCTGGCCTGGCCTGGCCTGGCCTGGCCTGGCCTGGCCTGGCCTGGCCTGGCCTGGCCTGGCCTGGCCTGGCCTGGCCTGGCCTGGCCTGGCCTGGCCTGGCCTGGCCTGGCCTGGCCTGGCCTGGCCTGGCCTGGCCTGGCCTGGCCTGGCCTGGCCTGGCCTGGCCTGGCCTGGCCTGGCCTGGCCTGGCCTGGCCTGGCCTGGCCTGGCCTGGCCTGGCCTGGCCTGGCCTGGCCTGGCCTGGCCTGGCCTGGCCTGGCCTGGCCTGGCCTGGCCTGGCCTGGCCTGGCCTGGCCTGGCCTGGCCTGGCCTGGCCTGGCCTGGCCTGGCCTGGCCTGGCCTGGCCTGGCCTGGCCTGGCCTGGCCTGGCCTGGCCTGGCCTGGCCTGGCCTGGCCTGGCCTGGCCTGGCCTGGCCTGGCCTGGCCTGGCCTGGCCTGGCCTGGCCTGGCCTGGCCTGGCCTGGCCTGGCCTGGCCTGGCCTGGCCTGGCCTGGCCTGGCCTGGCCTGGCCTGGCCTGGCCTGGCCTGGCCTGGCCTGGCCTGGCCTGGCCTGGCCTGGCCTGGCCTGGCCTGGCCTGGCCTGGCCTGGCCTGGCCTGGCCTGGCCTGGCCTGGCCTGGCCTGGCCTGGCCTGGCCTGGCCTGGCCTGGCCTGGCCTGGCCTGGCCTGGCCTGGCCTGGCCTGGCCTGGCCTGGCCTGGCCTGGCCTGGCCTGGCCTGGCCTGGCCTGGCCTGGCCTGGCCTGGCCTGGCCTGGCCTGGCCTGGCCTGGCCTGGCCTGGCCTGGCCTGGCCTGGCCTGGCCTGGCCTGGCCTGGCCTGGCCTGGCCTGGCCTGGCCTGGCCTGGCCTGGCCTGGCCTGGCCTGGCCTGGCCTGGCCTGGCCTGGCCTGGCCTGGCCTGGCCTGGCCTGGCCTGGCCTGGCCTGGCCTGGCCTGGCCTGGCCTGGCCTGGCCTGGCCTGGCCTGGCCTGGCCTGGCCTGGCCTGGCCTGGCCTGGCCTGGCCTGGCCTGGCCTGGCCTGGCCTGGCCTGGCCTGGCCTGGCCTGGCCTGGCCTGGCCTGGCCTGGCCTGGCCTGGCCTGGCCTGGCCTGGCCTGGCCTGGCCTGGCCTGGCCTGGCCTGGCCTGGCCTGGCCTGGCCTGGCCTGGCCTGGCCTGGCCTGGCCTGGCCTGGCCTGGCCTGGCCTGGCCTGGCCTGGCCTGGCCTGGCCTGGCCTGGCCTGGCCTGGCCTGGCCTGGCCTGGCCTGGCCTGGCCTGGCCTGGCCTGGCCTGGCCTGGCCTGGCCTGGCCTGGCCTGGCCTGGCCTGGCCTGGCCTGGCCTGGCCTGGCCTGGCCTGGCCTGGCCTGGCCTGGCCTGGCCTGGCCTGGCCTGGCCTGGCCTGGCCTGGCCTGGCCTGGCCTGGCCTGGCCTGGCCTGGCCTGGCCTGGCCTGGCCTGGCCTGGCCTGGCCTGGCCTGGCCTAGCCTGGCCTGGCCTGGCCTGGCCTGGCCTGGCCTGGCCTGGCCTGGCCTGGCCTGGCCTGGCCTGGCCTGGCCTGGCCTGGCCTTGGCCTAGCCTGGCCTGGCCTGGCCTGGCCTGGCCTGGCCTGGCCTGGCCTGGCCTGGCCTGGCCTGGCCTGGCCTGGCCTGACCTAGCCTGGCCCTGGCCTAGCCATAACAACACGAGGTTTTTTTTTGGAAGAAAAAGGGTGTCGGGTGTGCAAAAAATGATACTAAAAAAAATTCTAACGAAGAAAAAAAAAAAAAAAAAAAAAATCAAAAAAAAAAAAGGTTGCCACAACTGGCCCAAAAACAGTGCATTAAAACGAGTCGCGATAGATTGGAATGCGGCTCAGGTAGCGGAGCCATCACGCACACAAGCGGTAAACAACGCGTGATCGAGACACCGCACCGCCCCTGCATTCCGATCACGTCATCGTGCTCTTCGAATATCGGCGCTTAAGTGATACCTAGTGACTAAAAATTCTAAATATAAACAAAACAATAATAACAATTACATTAAATAAACAAAACAAAATAAATAAATTATATTATATATATACAAATAAACAAAATAAGAATATCATCTAATTTAAAAATCGAAAATAAATTGAAAAAATTTTCGACTCGGGCAGGACATAAAATTTTTTCAATTTATTTTCGATTTTTAAATTATATAGTGCCTTCATGTGCAATAACATGTGAAAAATATTAATGTTTTCAAATATCATCTAACTTCCATCTTATTACTTTACATAAAACTACGCGAGGATCGAGAAGCGAATATGATTGGAATGTGAAAGGCAACTCAGGTAGCGAAGCGAAGGGAACACGCACACAGGTACAAAAATCGTATGATCGAGCGTACCAGGCGTCACCGCATTCCAATCGAGCGCCTGTGTGAGTGTAGCAAACAAGAACACTGTGGAATGCGGTCGGACCGAGCGAGTAAAGCGGTAACGGAGCAATCACGCACGCAAGCGGTAAACAACGCGTGATTGTGCCCCTGCACCCGCGCACCCTCGCAACCGCATTCCGACCGCGCGGGGCTATCGTCGTAAACAACATTCCAACGAGCACTAGAGGCACCACAAAGATTATTAGTAGAACTTTAAAGATGGAAACTAACGTATCACTTGTTAGTGAACGATTGTAGTGATATTATTGTGTATAATTTATACTTATTCACTATTACTTATACTTTGATTTAAGTAGACTTAGGCCCTTATTGGCAAGTAAGTTAATAAATAAGAACTTTAGACCGTATGTATTTAGATGTAAATTGTACAAGATATAAATTATTATCGATTGATTGACGAGCTTAGCGGCTTTAACTAACAAATATTTTTATTTATTGTAAAGACTATACCTATTTTAAAAACCTATATATAAAAAAAAAAAAAAAAAAAAAAAAATATATATATATATATAAATGTAAAAGTAAATACGCAAAGAAATAAGAACTAAATATTGTACAATAATCAAAATTTTATTCTTAAAAAAAAAATAGAAAATAAGACATCCGCTCTATTGGCGGTCTTATTAGTGATAAGTATTTTTAATAGACTTTTACACGATACTGAACTGTATAGACATAAGGCCTTATTGGCCAAAGTTCACTTTGACATATTTTTTTGACAGTCAGTACGTAATCACTTGACACAACTACTGGCTACCACATCGTTTAATAAAATTCTTCTCTATTTATAAATCTTTAATCAAGAGGTAATTACTGTTGTCGTTTTATTATAAAATGTTAGGCCTTAGAACCCCCGTGAAAAAAGTAAACTCTCAAGATGTTACTACACCTCCCCAATATGACACATTTCAGAAATCTCCACCGAGCACTTCGGACCTCCTAAGAAAAGAGACTGATGGTGCCGGAGCACCTAGGCGTTTGTCGCAAGGAAAAGTTCCGGAACTAGCGTCGCGTTTCTCAGGCACCTCGTTAATAACAGGAACTGCAGAAGACAAGAGGAAGACCTTCGTGGTAAGGAGAATGGAAGAAAAGGAAAGTAATGATGAGAAGAATGCAAGTAAAATAGGAAGTAAATATAAAAGCCGGGGCACGGAAGCGGCAGGCATACAGCAGAGCGCCCTAAAGAACTTAGATGCAGCGCGAAACTTAAAGACGGATATAAAGGTTACCGTCACACAGTGTATCAAACGGCTTTTTACCTTATACAAGGAGACGGAAAAGGAACTAGAAATGGAAAAGGAAGGTCGCAAAGACACAGGATCCGAGTAGGGGGGGAAAAAAGTACTAAGAGAAAAAGGAAAATCGGAAAAATGTGAAGAAACAGGGGAGGGCAAACAAATAGCGTTAACTACGGAGCTTAAAAGGGAGTTAAAGAAATTGGAAGAAGTAAGAGAAGGAATGGAGGAAACAAGAAAGAAACTAGAAAACTCAATAAAATCAGAATATTTATAAACTAAAAAATTAATAGACATACGGGAAAAGGAAAGTGAAATATTTAAAGGGAAAATAACGAAAATGGGGATTATATTGGGAGAGCTAAAAAGAACCAAAGAAATAGAAGTAGAAGAGAAACAATACATTAAGGACAGTTTGAACAAAATAAAAACGCAACTAGGATCGGGAAACCGCTTCTCAACACAGGAAAGCTATGAAGAAAAAAACATATTGGAAGGTATTCGGGATAGTTTGGGAAAACAGGAAAAAACTGATGTAGATAGGCAGGAAAGGATCGAACGCAAGCTTCGAAGTATTGAAACCGAGTTGGCTAACACAAGGGAAAAAATGACGCAGGCGCTTTCTTATTCCGAAGTGGTGGCAACCGGCAGCTTAGGTGAAAGGAACCCCCCAGACACCAACCGAAGCTCTGCTACGCTTCACTCAGTGATCGTAAGTGCGGAGGGCAACTTGGAGACCAGCGACGAGGTTGTCACAAGAATAAGAAGAGCCGTGAACGCAAAGGAGACAGGCCTCCAGATCGACAGGGTCCGTAAGGTGAGGGACCAAAGGGTGGTCGTCGGATGCAGCAACTCTGCGCAGCTAGAGAGGGTTGCTGCCCTTTTAACTAATGACCCATCCCTAACGGTCGAACCCGCCAAGTCGAAGGACCCTCTAGTTATCCTGCGGGACCTAAGGGCCGACATAAGTGACGAAGACATCCTATCGGCTCTCCTGAAGCAGAACAGTCACATACTCGGATGCTACAGGGAGGAGGACCTAAGAGCTGAAGTCAGGTACCGCAGGAGGACAAGGAATCAAAATACCACCCACGTCGTACTGAAGGTCGCCCCCAAATTGTGGAAGACTCTAGTGGGCGCAGGAAAGGTCTACATTGACATGCAGAGCGTTGCAGTGTGGGACCAATCGCCCCTGATCCAGTGCACGAAATGCCTTGCTCACGGGCACGGAAGACGGCAGTGCAAGGAAGAGAAGGAGTTTTGCTCGCACTGCAGCAAGCAAGGCCACAGCTTTAAGAACTGCCAGGAAAGAGACCAGACTGCACCTACCTGTATAAACTGCGGAAGAGCAAAGCTCACAAACGCAAACGGTCATGGACCCTTTTCGACGATCTGTCCCGAAAGGAAAAGGTGGGATGGAATTGCAAGAGCTGGCACACAGTATTCATAACACATCACAAAAATTCACTACGCACATTCAATATTATCAAAACGCATCTTACAGTAACACGAAATATACAGATACACAAACATATATATATACATACACAAACAATCATTAACACAACATCAATTACATACAGCATTAAACAAATGTAATACCTTTAATTGTAAAGGTCATTCATTATGATAATATCAAACACACTCATATAGGAACACACACTCATGCATAAAACATACACACACAAGCACATTTTAATACATGGCATCGACCCTTACCTAACAATATTATTTAATATTGACGGCAAAGCGCGAAACATTGTAACACATACACACAATATAATCAACTCCACACTTACAGATACATTAAAATTCTTCCCCAGAAATAGTACAATTATTTCATGAGTAACAAAACACAGTTGCAAGCCCTAAAACAAACACACAAGACACGGTATCGAAATAGAAAGTAAGCATAGCAAACAATATACAACTGTAATTGCCTCACCATATATAATATCAACGTCCCCATAAAGTATTACTACTGCCTAGAGCAAAGAATATTATGTCTATAACTAGATTAACAAAAGTAAAAATGTTGTAGTGTATAACAGTTTAGCGTATACTCCCGAGTTTCGGGTACCAGAGACTGTAATGGAGAACAGTTCCGAAAAGTATACGTGCTTGTAATTGCTAATGCTATGCTGTAGAGTTAACAGCTTAAAGGTTAAGAGGGAGGCGAAATAACCAAACCCAATGAGTGCTGTAGTGCTACTGATTTATTTCCTATTAATATCGCTTAAATATAATTTACAAGAAAGGTAGAAAATAGGACGCTCACTAAACTAACCTTGTAAATTTGCTTTTAATAAAAACATTGATGTGAGCACGACGCTGACATAGATTTAGAATTATGCTAGCTATGCTATAAAATAATATTATTATAAAAATATAGTAATTTTGTTCGGACGTTTGTCCGTACATTCTGCCGCCTCAGAAAAAAAAGAAAAAGAGCTAGCTAATATTAAAAATAGGAAATAAACTCAAAATAAGAAATGTAACTGACTGAATGTCGTTGTAAAGACTAAAAATGTTACTACTGCAATAGTAGGTGACGTAAACTAGATAAGTATTACTAGTTGTTTAAAGAATATTTTGAACTACTGAAAGAGTTCAAACTTCAAGTTGATGTTAACATGATAAACAAATTAAATTTAGGCTATAGTATCCTACTTTGCACTTAAAGATAATTTAAAGTCCCTATGCGAAATGATAGGCAATACACTTTGTTCACTTGTACCGATTATAGAATATTTATGTTATAAAATGCATTGTCACTTGCACTTTCACTATGTAATAGTGGCTTCACCGGGGGCACTGGGTCCGCCGGCAACCACGGAGGAGCTGCAGACACCCGTGTGTAACGGGGCACTCTCGAGCCGATGGTGTAAAAGGCAGCAGATGTAGTGCAAGCTGCAGCCATGGAAAATCGATAGTCTTCGTGAATTGCCAGTTGCTTTAGACTTTGCATAGCGAGATAGGTTACAGTGATGAAATGATGTTCCTTTAATGTATGTGCAAGTGACGGCTGCCATACGATGCGCTGCAGAGCTCGTGCGCATTTCCAGGGAAATAATTTCGGGAACATCTTATCAGCCGCGATCATGAATCGATATCGGCGCGAAGTAATTATAAGACCTTGCGTGGTCTTAGTCCTTGCGGACGCTTTGAAAACGGTTCTAAGTCTCTTTGTTTTGGAATCAGTTTTCAAGACATCGTGAGGCGGAAGATTATAGGAAATTAGTTTTTCAGTTCTTTTACAAAGTCCTAAATCCTCATATTTCTGCATAAAGTTAACGTAACTTTCTGCAATTTTTTCATTCGATTGCATCTTTTGTTTCAAATTATAAAACTGTGCAGCTGTGCGGTTTTTAGAGGTTCCTACTTTCTGCTCAAAATCAGTTTTCATAGAAATCGTGACTTCACGTAAGCGCGGTGCTGTTTTTTGGTGTGAGAGTTCACAAGTCTGTTCCTCTTCAGGTAATTGTTGATCTGTGTTATTATTCTTGTTTTGGATAGCTTCGGATTCCGTTAAGGTTGATGAAGAGGGTGATGAAGACTTGATGACTTTTGGAATCACTATACTAGTACATGGCTCATGTAGCAGTGTATGGTGGTCGCGATGACAAATCTTGCAGCGTTCATGAGAAGTACAAGGTTCGCTGTGTTGGTAAAGACAGTTTTTACAAACTTTAAATTTCAATACGGTCTTCATCCTGTCTTGGGGAGATAATTTTCCAAATGTTGGGCAGTAGTGTAGGTAATGCTCTTGATAACATAATAGACACTTTGGAGCACAAGTGGCTATAGTTTGATATTCTCTTCTGTATGTTGGTTCAATGTTAAATATTTTAGGTGGAGAGCAAATGTTCTGATGCGGCATATCTTTCTCTTGAGAAACTGGCTCAAATGCGATATACCTTTTTTCGGTGAAAACAGGAATTTCGATGTGGGGCGTAGATGGCTGTTGGTGTATACCAGATGCTAGACGACGATGGAGGGCCCTGTTTATATCCTTGTATAATTTTTCATAGTGTTCAAATTCCCGCTCATACAATGTATTCGACCCTTGGAGTATATGATCAATTTTTAAATGCAGAGAGTCGATTGTATTCCACCGGTTTTGGACGTTACCTATCTCGTATTCCAGTTCCCATTCTTCAGAGATGTTATCGATGTCTAAATTATTCATCAATCTTGTAAAGGCTCTGAAGTTGGTGCGTTGTAGACTTAAATAATTCGCCGCCTTGTCTGATAGCGGAGCGCTGGCACCTGAAGGAACGGGGAGAAGCTTTTCCATTTTGCTTGATTGTGGCTGCAGCTATAGACGGTGTGTCCTTACTGTTCGGCGCCCGATGATACCGCAACACACACAATAGAGTTAGTTAATGCGACCCGACGCGGATGCACTGTACATTATTTGCGACGATTCGCGAGGGAACTGCTGTGGTTCCTAGGATGATTCGCTGCGGGAACTGCTGTGGTTCCCGGGATGATTTGCTGCGGGAACTGCTGTGGTTCCTGGGATGATTTGCTGTGGGAACTGCTGTGGTTCCCGGATGATTCGCTGCGGGAACTGCTGTGGTTCCTAGGATGATTCGCAGTGGGAACTGCTGTGGTTCCCGGGTTTCGGCACCAAAAACTGTAATGTATAACAGTTCCTGGGATGATTTGCTGTGGAACCGGCTGTGGTTCCCGGGTTTCGGCACCAAAAACTGTAGTGTATAACAGTTTAGCGTATACTCCCGAGTTTCGGGTACCAGAGACTGTAATGGAGAACAGTTCCGAAAAGTATACGTGCTTGTAATTGCTAATGCTATGCTGTAGAGTTAACAGCTTAAAGGTTAAGAGGGAGGCGAAATAACCAAACCCAATGAGTGCTGTAGTGCTACTGATTTATTTCCTATTAATATCGCTTAAATATAATTTACAAGAAAGGTAGAAAATAGGACGCTCACTAAACTAACCTTGTAAATTTGCTTTTAATAAAAACATTGATGTGAGCACGACGCTGACATAGATTTAGAATTATGCTAGCTATGCTATAAAATAATATTATTATAAAAATATAGTAATTTTGTTCGGACGTTTGTCCGTACAAATGTATTAATAAAGTTATAAGAAAGTACAAATGTATAAATTAAGTTAATATAAGATAAGAATGTAATCAAAAGATAAAAATAAAATACATAAACAAAATAGTAAATCCGAACTGTCCACAAAAGAAAACAATAAAAATATAAATGAGTCATAATTATTTAAGATGAAGAAAGACTGAGAGAATGAAAGAAATGATGGAAATAAACAGCTTAATCCACGGCCCGACATTTAACTATGGTCGGGGGAGGTAGGCCAGGAGGAAAAAAAAAAAAACCTAACCTAACCTAACCTAACCTAACCCTACATCTTAGGATCGAGGAAGCAGCAGTTCTGTACAAGATAAAGAAAGGATTGTCTCCCCCACTCAGATTAGACGCGGTGATGGAGGGCAGAGCAAATCCGATGGAGATGCCACACCCTGCGCACGAGCCACTGCTGACCTATAAGACCTATGACTCAGAACTAGACCTAGAGACACAAACTGACACCTCAAACTTTTTCACTGACGGTAGTAAATTTGATGAAGGCGTCGGTGCCGCGGTCGTTATCTTTAAAGAAAAGGTTCAAAAGAAATTCGTAAAAATTAAATTAGCATCCTACTGTACTGTCTTCCAGGCTGAGATGGTGGCGCTGCACAGAGCGTTTGAGCTGATGGAAAGGGAAAAAAGCCCGAATATAAACGTCTGTAGCGACTCCAGATCAGCACTGGACGACATCACAAGCGGCCGCTCTCTTAATCCTCTCGCTGTCCAAATAAGACGGAAAATCTCTAAAATGCGTGAACATAAAACAATTACCTTATTCTGGATCAAGGCCCACGCTGGACACGAGGGGAATGAGAGGGCGGACCTGCTGGCGAAGGAGGCCGCCCAAAACAATAAAAAGAAACCAGACTATGACCTTTGCCCAATTTCTACTATAAAAAGACTTATAAGGACGGAATCGGCGCAGCGTTGGGAGGAAGATTATCAAAACGGAGAGACGGCGTCCATCAACTAAAATCTTCCTCCCAACAGCGGCAGCCGCCTGCAGGGTCATAAAAAGGGTGGCATTGGACGGCGAAACAACACAGGTTTTAACGGGGCATGGTGGTTTAGCCGCATATCTCCACAGGTTCAAACGTAAGGACAGCCCCGTTTGTGCCTGTGGAGACGAGGATGAAACGGTGCCCCATTTGTTGGTTCGCTGCCCAATCCACGCCTTAGAAAGACACAAACTGGAAAACCGACTTGACATTGACATGACAGAAAGTAACTTAAAAATAATCATGATGGACGACGGGATGAGGCCTCCTTTGCTACAATTCTGTAAGCAAATAGTAAAAATAGTAAATAAACGGAATAAATAAAAAGGTTTAAATATGTATATAAATAAGTGCGCAAAACTAGTATTAGTAAATAGTAATAAGTAAAATTAAAGTTGATTGTATTGTATTGTATAGAATAAGAAATTTGTAAAGCAAAAAGCGGAATAAATAAAGAATAGAAATATGTATGTAATAATTAATGTGGATATATATGTGTGTGGGAATTAGTAGAAATAATAGTAAATAGTAATAAGAATTGTAATGTTATCTCTAGAATAAGAAATTTGTAAACGAATGTTTTAATAAAGAAAATAATTAGCTTGTACAACTAGAATAAGAAATTTGAGAACAAATATACTAATAAAGAATTGATTAGCCTGTAAGTTAGAATAAGAAACATATGAGAAAACATTTTAAAAAGAAAAATCATTAGCTTAGATATTCCACGGCCCGGAGATAACTTCGTCCGGGGGGTAGGCCTAGTAGGAGAAAAAAAAAAAAAAAAAAAAAACCTAACCCTAACCTAACCTAACCTAACAAAAAACTTTTTTTTTTTTTTTTTTTAACCTGGAGGAATCCGTTTACGGACCCCGCGCCTGGGCAGTGCAATGGCGCGGGAGTGTGGGACTCGACCCTAGAAGAGGGCCAATACCGCACTAAACCATCCAGGACCCACGTCCACTCCACTATTGGCAAGGGTAAGGTATCAGTAAAACCATATTTTCCTTGAACCCTCGCCGAGTGGCTCGCCGCGCAAGCGCGACTCTCCCTACAAAAATACGTAAGGTATGCTTACGCACGCCCTTGCCATCGTCTGGTGAGGATCACTGGGGGTGACGGAGGAAGTCCCGCCGCCGCCTTCCAGGTCTCCTCCGGCGTTGCTGATCTGCGTCAGGAGCTATCTCCCGCAGTCGCTCCGCCTCCTCCTTCTGTGATAGGACGGCTTCGCAGAAGGCAGCGAACGCCCTCCATTTTCCGTCGTCTGTCTGTAAAATCTTTACAATAATATCATTTAAGTGCGTATCACCTCTGGTGATGTCTAAGCCGAGTTGTATCGACAGGGTGTCTCTCTCGACGACCCATGCCGAACATTCCGTCAGTGTATGGCGGACAGTGTCCACCGCAGCGCCACAGTGATGGCAAGCGGGGGTCCGTTCCCTACCGATCTTGAACAAATAACTGCCAAAACAGCCGTGTCCCGACAGCATCTGCACCAGACGGTAGGACAGATGTCCCCGCCGCCGACTCACCCATTCCTTCAGGACCGGCTGAATCGCCTCCAGCGTCCATCTTCCAGTCCTTGAGGTCACGAGGCCGTCGGACCACTCCTGGGTGACCCAATCTCCGGCGCTCCTTCTCCACTCGTTCACTGTCTCGTAGGCAGGTTCCTCTCCTCTCGACCTATAACGAAACCTACGCCAGTGAACGTCTGCCAAGGCAGAGGCTTCGAGGTGCCAAGGTGCCGAAGCGGCTAGTACGCACACGGCATCGAAAGACACCGTGCGGTACGCCCTTGCGACCCTTATGGCGATCACTCTCTGCGATTGCCTTAGCAACGCCCTATTCTGGGATGCCAATCCGTACGCCCAGATTGGGCACCCGTAGAGGGCCATCGACCGCATGACCCCTGCAAATAGCCGGCGACGCCCCGCGCTCGGTCCGCCAACGTTCGGCATAATACGGCAAAGCGCCGATGCCGTGGCGGCCAACTTGGGGGCCAGTGCCTTGAAGTGCGGCTTGAAGGTCCACCGAGAGTCGAGGACCAAGCCCAAATACTTGAGCGTGGACCCGACCCCGATGGACTGGCCGCTTACCACAATGCTTGCGCCAGAAGGTGGTGCTCTCCGCGGGCCATGGAAACATATCGCCTCCGATTTGTGAAGTGCGACTTCCAGGCCGATGTTTCTAATGCGCGCGACAACCTGCGCCACTCCCGCTGTCGCACTGTTATATGCAAATATTCCACTGTTCTTTTGATGACGCTGCACACGTGTAGTAATTATAATTTTCCATAATAATAGTGTCTATGTTGCACTTTAGTCCTACTAAGGAATTACTTTCATATATTCGAAGAGTTACATTTTCATCGTCGCGGAGTGCGGACATTGTAGAGTGAGGTCCTCAATATTAATTGTACTCATACAATTATTAATTAAATAAACGAAATTAAATCCTGTAGTGGATTTTCGTTTTTTTTAAAAACCTCACGACCCGGTGCGCTAAAACAAATTTGGTGGCAGCGGTGGGATACCCGACAGTTATAACGACAGGGTATTCCAAAGAACAACAGCAGCATCGTGGTCACGGATCGACAGTAAGCCTTCTATATATATCTATACAAGCCTGCATCCCTTGTCCGTCACCGACATCGTAGCTCCACTGGGACTTTGGTTCCTAAGGTTTTCAGAACCTAACACATAAAGTGTGAATTTGGAGAGAGAGAAGAGAAGTGAAGGTCTAGGAGAGAAACGAGGTCCAGATTTCGCGCCCCTCGTCCAATTGTGAAGTGAGTGAATTTTAAAACAAAAAAAAAGACAATTTGTGACAAGTGCAAGTGATTAAAATATGCTCCAGAAAATTATTTTCCTATTGTAAGTTTTTCTTTTAGTGTTTAATAATTAAGTAGCGACTCTTTCGTAATTTTCTATCTCATTGTTTATTTGTATTTGTTTCAAACACCATGTCAATCAAAGTAGAAGCAGATAATAAAATTAGTTTGGGTGTGTTGGTTAAGTTCATAAAGCCTTATTCTGGGGATAGGGAGAGCTTGCCAGCTTTCCTTACCAACTGTGATAATGCTATATCATTAGCATCAAAGGACCAACAAAATATCTTGTGCAAATTTATAATTTCGCAATTAGAAGGAAAAGCTCAAATGACATGTTGTTTGAAAAATTTTAATGAATGGTCTGAACTCAAAGACTTTTTAATTTATTCTTTTGGTGAGAAAAAACACTCAACGCATTTATTATTAGATTTACAAAATTGTAAGCAGACCTTTTCTGAAAGTGTTACGCAATATTCGATTAGATTAGAGACATGTTTAACGCGTCTCTTAGCAGAGACCAAGTTTACTTGTAAAAACAAAGAGGAGTTGCCGGGAAGGATAGCGGCAATGGAAGACTTAGCTCTGAATACATTTTTATTAGGTCTAAACTCTAATATAAGCAATATTGTCAGATGTAGGAATCCGGCAAATTTAAATAATGCTATAACTTTAGCCGTCGAAGAGGAAAAAGTTTTTAATCTAAATAAGTGCTCTACTATGTCTTTTAAAAATAAATTTTGCTCAATTTGTAAAAACTCAAATCACAATTCCTCAAAATGTTTTCGGAAAATTAAGCACACAAAATCAATTCATATTATCTGTGCCTATTGCAAAAATGTAGGGCATAGGATACAAGAATGCAGAAAACGAGAATTTAATAATAAAATGCGCAACAAAATTTCAATCCGATCGAAATCCGATCCTACACCGCGTACTAATAATACAAACTTACATATGTGTGAAACACATGACTCTGCATGCGAGTGCGCTTTAAACTTAATGTGATTTCGAAAAAGTGCCTTTCGAAATCGATAAATCAAAATGGCACAAAATATTTATCTAATAATAATATTACTAAATTTACTAATTCCTATAACACAAATGCATCTCAGTCAAAGCCGCTGAGTCTTGCTAACTCTTATAAAAAAATCGCATCTCAGTCAAAGCCGCTGAGTCTTACTAATTCTTATAAAAAAATCGCATCTCAGTCAAAGCCGCTGAGTCTTACTATTTCTCATAACAAAAATGCATCTCAGTCTCAGTCGCTGAGTCTTACTAAATCGTGTACTAAATGTTGTAGTAAAATGGTGAAAGAAAATCATAAAAATGATTTATTCGTGGTTAATCAAGACCCGAATTTTATTCAAGAAACTATAAAAGAAAATTCTAATTCTAAGTGTGATAATAAAATTAATACTAATTCAATTCCTATTGTCGAAATGTCTGTCTGCCAATATAAGGTATCATTACCTTTCACGTATTTAAAAACGTGTTATTCTAGAAATAAATTGCAAATGCTTATTGACACAGGCGCAAGTGTAAGTATAATAAAGCATACGTCGCTCGAGAACATTCCTAAGTTATCAAATGACATTATTCAACTAAAAGGAATAAATGATACAAACTCACACTGCGAAACGTTAGGATCGCTTTCCTTGCAATTTCAATTGTGTAATGAAACAATGGAATATAAGTTCCACGTAATCAGTGATGAAATTAATTTAAAATATGATGGGATTATAGGTACTGACTTTTTAAAATATTTTAATGCAAACATTGATTATTATTCTAATAAAATGTCTATTAAAAAACATTTTTTACCAATTATATTTGATAAACCAATCTATCATATCCCAGCTCGTTCTGAAACAGTAATCGAATGTGCTGTGACTAATCCAGAAGGTGAATTGAACAACCTTAAAGAAGCATTAGTTTTAGACACTATCGTAGAAGATGGCGTATATGTTGCTAACTGTATTGTTAGTTTAAAACCCAATAAATGTGTCAATATATCTATTTTAAATACCACTGAATCAAATATTGAAATAAAAGATTTTAAAGTAACTTTAATACCTATCGATTATTCTTTCTTATCATCAAACAAAAACATAGAAAATATTTTTAATATAAACGACTCGTATACTA